CCTGGTATTCCTTTAAGCAACTCAGAATCCAGCCTGGTGAACTGGAGAGAACTGAAAAACAGGGTCTGAGTACTGTTGCCTAATGGTGGCATTTCAGAGCCCTTCTAGAAGGAAGCCCAGGTTGTGACAATCACACAGCAGATGTGTCATCTGAGGGTCACCCACTGTTCTGCAGCTCACTCTGCACAGGCCCAGCGCCAGTCTCCGAGCTCCTTGTGCATCCTGTCTTTCTCCTCCCTTCCATTCTCTTCGCCTTTCCTGTCGCCAGAGAAGGGGCTGGTCTCCAAGGTCTCAGACACAAGCATGTGAACATGTGTCAACATGAGTGCAGCTGTGTTTCGCTCCCAGGCCCCTTGCACATGTCTGCCCCAAGTCAACACTCGGTGGGATTGAGAACAGAGACCCTTTGGCTCTCTCCATCCCCAAGGCCCCTTGCTCTGCACTAGCCCCCCGCACAGGTTGTTCCCCAACAGCAAATGCAGACATGCTGGGCTATCACTCCACACCCTACACCACTCTCACCCTCAGCTGTAAACTTTGATTTTCTTCCACCTCTTATGAAAAGTGACTCTGAATTAATTCAAAGTTTATAAAGCTGTGTACAGTGGCCACATGCGTGTGATCCCAGCACTGAGCACACTGAGTTGAAGCAGAGGGGTACAATTTAAAGTCATCCTGGGCTACAGAGTGAGACCTTGTCTTTTAAAAAAAAAAAAAAAGAGGAGCGTTTCTATTGAACAAGGAAAGAGACTCTGACCCATTAGCTACATCGTGGCACTCTGCCATCTGTATATCAAAACACACTCAGTTGGGGCTGGAGAGATGGCTCATCAGTTAAGAGCACTGGCTGTTCTTGTAGAAAACCCGGGTTCGAATCCCAGCACCCACATGGCAGCTAACAACTGCCCGTAACTCCAGTCCCAGGGGATCCAACAACCTCTTTTGACCTCTGTGGGCATTGCACGACAGGGGTGTAATTACGTACATGCAGACAATGCACGCATACACATAAAATAAAAATAAAAATAAATATTTTTTTTAAAAAAAAACATAATTCCACGTTGGGCAAATAAGGGGTGTGTACATGCACACGAGTGTGTGTAGGTGTGTGTGCGCACATGAAGAAACAATGGTAAAGAAAATGGCAGGAGCGGCAGGCTCCTTGACAGCTGGCTTCTCCACAGCAATACTGGAAGCAGACTGACCACAGCGGTCAAGACTGAAGGACTGAGCACGGGTCGTCTGAGAAGATGTGGCAGGTCTGCCGCAGGCAGAGGGGACTGGTCAGAGGAAATGGAGACAAACCAGGAAGTCCAGGGGCAGAGAGAGATTCCAAGACATTCACATAAATGCCAGAGAAACTAAACAACTCTAACACCAGGGGCTGCAAACACACAGATTTTAAAAGCACACTCACTCCAGGAAACTAATCCATGAGCACGCTCTCCTGTCCCAGGTACCATGGGGAGGCTGATCCACTGTTAACTAAAACCACCTTTGTAAGCTTAGGGTGCTGCCTGGTCAGGTAACCACAAAAAGAGAAGAGCTCCCAAAGGAGACAATAGCATACAGGCTGCAGTCTTAGTCTCCAGCTTCCCCGGCTCACCCCACAAGGCTCTATCCAGAGTCTGGACCATCTGCAGTGCTGCTTGGAGCCCCCACTTTCCTGGGATGGGTTGTCTGCCCTTGCTGCTGTTAGAACTGAGGGGCCTGAGGTCTGAATTCTCTCCTCCAGGGGTTAGGGTCTTTCATTTTGAGGGGTCTCTCTCTCTCTCTCTCTCTCTCTCTCTCTCTCTCTCACACACACACACACACACACACACACACACACAAAGTAAAAGATGCTGAGCATGGTGGCACATGACTTTAATCCTAGCACTAGGATAAGGGGGAAGATGTAGGAGGATCTCCAGGGTTTGAGGCCAGCCAAGTCTATATAGCAAGTTCCAGGCTAGCCACATATCCACAGTCAGACTGTTTCAAAAAAAGGGGGGAGGGATAGAAGAAACAAGTAACTGGCTGAAATACTTTTTTTAAATCCAGATACCTAAAATATTGTTTCAGCAGACAACCAATATAAAAAATGCTAAGATGAGATTTTACATTTTCTTCAAAGTCAGATGGTTTCTTTCTTTTTCCTTTTTGAAACAGGGTCTCCCTGGCCTGGAACACGATATGTAGGCTATATAGACCAGTCTGGCCTCGAACTCAGAGATCTGCCAGCCTCTGCCTCCCAAGAGGTGGGATTAAAGGCGTGTGCCACCGTGCTGGCTGTCTGATGTTTTCTGTGACACCTTGCTAATCCCCCAAAGGCTGTCCTGACACACCTGACTGTGGGCCACCTGCCAGAGCCATCCTTTCAGGGCAGGAGGGGTGGCAACTTGACATGTGGTGGGACATGCTCGAGACGCATCTGTGCACCTCCCCTTTCTTCCTACTGGGGTCAGTGACGTGGAGATTTCTGACATTCTTCCTATTTTCAAGGTCTGCCTCTGGCCTCAGAGCCCCTGGCCTTGGTCCCCCTGAGGATCTGCTCCGGGCTCTCCCACCCAGCTCCACCCTTCATCCTCCTCTTCTCTGGCTGGCGCTGCTCAGTGAGTCAGAGCCCCACTTTCCTCTTACCGGGGCGCTCCAGTCACTCTCTGGCCTCTCTGTGCCTGCAAGTCCTGACAAACAGTGTGTCTCCCGGAGCCAGGAGACACAGGGGTCGAGGCCAGCCTGGGGACGGACCCTCCGGGCCATACGGTGGGAGGCTGACAAGGGGATAGGGAGGTTCCTCGGGAGGTATTGTTTCTCAGGACACCGTTCACCTCGTTTTCTGAGACAGGGTCTCTGACTGGCCTGGAGCTCTTCAATTCAGCTAGGTTGACTGGCCAGTGATGCCTAGAGATCCTCCCGTCTCCAGTCCCAGTGATGGGATTACAAACAGATTCCACCATGCCAGGCAAGTTTTACATGAATTCTGGGGACTGAACTCAGTACCTCATGCTTATAAGGCAAGCATTTTACCTACCAAGCTCCCAGCACCCAAAGTATTTATTTTTTATTTTGTATAGGTTGGTGTTGTTTCTTTTGAGACAGGGTCTCACACTGTAGCCCAGGCTAGCCTTGAAGTTGGGGCAATCTTCTTGCCTTTACCTCCCAAGTTGCTGAGATTACAGGCATGAGCCATCACAGCTGACTGTGTCCTGTATACTTTAAAAAATAAACAAAAGCGACCTTATTGTAATGAATTCACAAAAGTATCATGTGACTAGATTAAGGTAATCACTGAAACAAACACTAGTCCAGGCCAAACTTGATACATCTCAATTAAGTTCTGGACAGTTAGGATGATCTATATGCCTTAAGTCATTTCTAAATGACTTACAACATCTAATGCGATGTGAGGGCTAGGTTAGTCGTTAATCTGGTATTATTTGGAGACCAATGATGGAAAAGAGGCCCATGGATGGCCAATGCACCTGCAATTTCTGATGCTGTTCACATGCCCTGTGGCATACACCACGTCAAGCATGGCCCCCCATTCACATGCCACACACTCTTGTCTAGGTGTCCTGCCTGTGATGTCACATGTTCAAAGGACATCTTCCAAGATGGGTGTGGCTGCTGCGCAGGTGTCATTTGTACCTCTCTTCCTCATCAGCAGACTTTGCTAACTGTCCTCCAGTTCCTCAAATGGAAGGGCTTCTGATAAGACCCAAGGTCACAGTCTTCGCCCTGATAATAATCTAGCTTGTTGGGCTCTCCTGCTGGACTTTGCTTCCCCAAGGTTTGTCAGCTTCCCCAAATGAGTAAAGGTGTAGCAAGGGCATGGAAAGTGTGAATAGAACCAGAGGATGAATACATGGGAGGAGAGGTGGGTGGAGGGAAAAAGGAGAGATGGAAGGAAGGACAGGTGGGAGTGAGTAGGGGAAGCGGGAGGATGGAGGAGAGGGTGGCTGGGAGGAGGGGTGGATGGAGAGATGAAGAGACAAGATAAAGGAGGGTAGGGTGCAGTGGCATACACCTTTAATCCCAGTACTCTGAATGCAGAGGTAGGTGGTGCTCTGTGAGATCAAGGCCAGCCTGGTCTACATAGTGAGTTCCTGGACATCCAGCGCTACATAGTGAGACCCTGTCTCAAAAAATAAAAATAAAATGTCAGGAGTGGTGGCATTTTAATGCCAGCACTTGGGAGGCAGAGGCAGGCAGATGTCTGTGAGTTCAAAGCCAGCCTGGTCGACATAGTGAGTTCCAGGCCAGCTGGGGCTACAGGGAGACCCTGTCTCAAAAACACCAAGGAAAAAAAAGATGAGTGAATTGGTAGAGGAGCAAATTCCACATCTAGCCTAGGGAATGTGGGCCTCCTCCTGTAGGTTCTGAGGCTCCCCTTCCAAGACCTCCTCCCACAAACTGGAACTCCTGCAGGATAGACAGGAAATTCTTCTAGCCCTCCCCTTTCTTCCTCTGCTGCCAGACACTAGGCTCAGCCTCTCTACAGATGGAGTCTTGCTTCATGAAGGCAGGGTCATTGTTTTGTAAAAAGGTCCTTACACCCCTATTTTCCAGCTACGAGAACAGGCTCAAAAACATTAAGTGAATTGCCCACTGTCTTGTCTAGCAAAATGAGATTTGAACTCAAAATTTGCTCAAACCAGCAGGGCTCCAGTGTCAGAGACTGAGTGACACCTGCGAGGACACAAGGTAACGGTGCTCACAATGGGCAGTCAGCAGGGCCCTGCATGGATGCCGGACTCCCAGGCCTGGGGAAAGGGTGTCAGTTTTATGGGGAGAGCCTTCCTTTTGTGGGCCTTGCTGGCCCTGCGCTGTCCTGGTGCCTGCAGAGGTCCCTTGCAGGTGGTCGTGTGTCAGGTCCTGGCTGGCACTATGGGATGTCCCCTAGCTCTTCTCCTCTGGGGACAAAAGGACAGCACCACCTATTAGGTAATGGTTAACTAGCCTGACGCCCCATCTATAAGGAGGCCCAGCCAGGACTGCCCCGCTACAGTTTCCACAGGATGCACTGGACAAAAATAGTGGGGCTGGTGGTCGGGGCTGCTGCCCTCTTGGGGTTGGGGATTATCCTGGGCCACTTTGCCATCCCCAAAGCGGCCGATCCCCCAGCGTCCAGCACCTCAGACTCCCAGGACCTGGACTTGGAGATCCTTGACACCGTGATGAAGCAACTAGATGCCAGCAGGATCCGGGAGAACCTTCGGTGAGTGGGTCTGCCCGGCCTCCTTTTAGCCAGAGACCTCACCCTGACACATTCCATCCTGCCCTGCCCATCCTGCAGAGAACTCTCCAAGGAGCCACATGTCGCCTCCAGCCCTCGAGATGAGGATCTGGTGCAGCTGTTGCTGGACCGCTGGAGGGACAAAGACACTGGTCTGGACTCAGCTCAGACCTATGAGTATGAGGTCCTGCTCTCCTTCCCCAGCCCAGAGAAGCGCAACAGTGTGGAAGTCGGTGAGGTCCTGGGCAGAAGGAAGCAGAGTCAGGGCTGGGCCTGCAGCTGCCCAGCTATGCCCAGCGGCAGGCCCAGCCCTGACTCTGCTTCCTTCTACAGTGGGCCCCAATGGGACCATCCTCCACTCCTTCCAACCCGGTGAAAAGAACCTGACCGGGGAGCAGGCACGGCCTGATGTGGTACAGCCTTATGCCGCCTATGCTCCCTCTGGAACTCCACAGGTGAGCCTGACACCCCACCCCATCATATTCTGGTGCACCACCTTAGCTCCCACCCAAGCTTCTCTCTACTCAGCAGCCTGTCCACTGACCTTGCACCACCACTGCTATTCCTATCCTCCATCAGTTAGACATTCAACAAACACCAGTGGTGCCTCCTCAAAGCTTTGTACAGGGACTCAGAGAACAAGAGGATGGCCATCCTCCGGGTACTTACATCTCTGGGTGAGATGGGGAGACAGAATTAAAACTCTCCCTCCTGATATTCAGTGTTTGTACCCTTCCCCACCTGCCTTTGGCCAAGTCTAGCTCTAAGAACCCCTTCTTTTGGGACTAGGGCCTCCTCATCTATGCTAACCAAGGCTCGGAAGAAGACTTCAACAGGCTTCAGGCTCAGGGCATCAAGCTTGAAGGCACCATCGCCCTGACTCGCTATGGGGGTGTAGGGCGTGGGGCCAAGGTGAGTAGAAATCACCATGCAGGGGGCCTGGGAGGGAAAAGGGCCAGCTGTGCTCAGAAAAAACAGGAGCAGTATTGGGGGAGGCTTGAGCTGTCTGTGGACAACAGGAACCAGAACACCAGAGCCCATGCAGCTGGTTACCACAAAGGCCTCATGGCAGAGGCAGGAACCAACTCTCTTTAAATTTAGTTTTACATTATTTATTTATTTTCTCTATGTGAGGGGCTGTTCCATGGTCCAAGGACAACTTGCAGGAGTTGGTTCTCCCCTTCCACCATATGAGTGCTGGGGATTGAACACAGGTCATCAGGATTGGCAGCAAGCACCTTTATGTGCTGAGCCATCTTGCTGACCCAGGAAGTGAATTTTTTTTTTTTGTCTCCTCATAGCCCCAGCTGTCGTGGAACTCACTATGTAGACCAGGCTGGCCTTAAACTCACAGAAATCTGCCTGCCTTTGCCTCCCGAGTGCTGGAACTAAAGGTGTGCACCACCACGCTCAGGAAGTAGATCTTTCAGTTAGGTTTTATTCAGAGAGCTGGCAATCCCTGATGGCAGAAGGCCTTTAAAACCGTTTTACCATTCAGCCCCAGCTGGGAGACTGTACAGGGAGAAAAGAAAGGGGAACAAAGGCCATCAGTAACCCTGAACTCAGTCCTGCCCCTGTGCGCAGGTGCTCAGGTGCTGAGTCACATTCCTGAGTCTGTGCCCTCGTTAGCAGCCCGCACTTGTCCTTCATTCACTGGGTGTCTGGGCTGAGGTACTCCATGAACTACTGAGTCTGGTCAGTAGTCTAGTTAGTGTCTGCTGATGCCAACTTTGTACTGGGCTGGGGGACTGGGCTAACTCAGAAAGACACCATCAACGGTGTTAGGTGCTCAGCGAGTGACATACAGATTCCTGGGGCCCACTGCTCAACCAGTCTAGCCAAACTGACAAGCTCCATGTTTCAGTGAGAGCTCTTATCTCAAAAAATAAGGGGAAGCCAGACATGGTGGCACACGCCTTTACTCCGGCATTTGGGAGGCAGAGGCAAGTGGATCTTTCTGAGATCAAGGCCAGCCTGATCTACATAGGGAGTTCCAGACCAGCTGGGGCTACAGAGAGACCCTGTCTCATAAAACAAAAACAAAAAACGTGGGGCTGGGCCTGTGGTGCAGGCCTTTAATCTCAGCACTTGGGAGGCAGGCGGATCTCTGTGAGTTCAAGGCCAGCCTGGTCTACATAGTGAGTTCTAGGACAGCTGGGGCTACAGGGAGACCCTGTCTCAAAAAGACCAAAAAAGAAAACAACCCAAACAACAACAATAAAATATAGGTTGAGAGTGATACCTGACATCAGCTTCTGACCTCCACACACATATGCAGACATATGTATGCGTGCCCTCACATGTGTGTTTATGCACACAACACATAACACATGCACACACATGAAATAAAGAAAAGGGGGAAAAGTAGCTGTTTCCTTTCTTTTTTAGGCAATGGATTAATGCAAGCTTGTATTCAGCTCACTTTCTCCTCTTTTTTTGTCTTTTTGAGACAGGGTCTCCCTGTAGCCCCAGCTGTCCTGGAACTCACTATGTAGACCAGGCTAGCCTCGAACTCACAGAGATCCGCCTGCCTCTGCCTCCCGAATGCTGAAATGAAAGGTGTGCTACCAGCCTGGCCTAACTTTCCTTTCCGGTTTTCAATGGCAGCAAATGCCTTTTGTATCCGAAGCTAGAATGGCGGGGTTAATGTATAAAGATTTTCCCGTCTCTTTGCATATTTTCTCTCCTGCCTTTTCTTGCTTATCTAATATAGTTTTGTTGTTCAAGGTCATTGAAAGCTCTGTTCTGTTGGCCAGATCTTTCTGGAATGCAGCATTCTGCAACTATGAGGACCTTGCACATGTTAGAAAAGCACTCTACCACTGAGCTGTACCCCCAGTCTTTTAAATTTTATTTCACCTTTTAAAATTTATTTATTTATTCATTCATTCATTCATTTCTGAGACAGGATTTCATGTAGCTAAGGCTGGCTTTGAATCTTCTGTGTCACTGAGGATGACCTTGAGCTTCAGATTCTCTTGCCTCTGCCTTTCAAGAGTTGGGATTACAGGTGTGCAGCACCACACTTGGTTTGCATGGTACTGGGGATCAAACCCAGAGTTTTGTGCATGCTACGCAAGTGCTCTACCTACTGAGCTACAGTGCCAGTCTCTATTTATTTTTATTGTTTTGGGTGTGTGAGACAATATCTCACTATGTAGACAAGTCTAGCCTGGAAATTGCTATGTAGCCAAGGTTAATCTTGAACTCGGATTATCCTCCTGCCTCAGTCTCCCAAATGCTAGAATTACAAGTGTGTGCCACCAGGCCCAATGTGTGGAGAGATTGATAAAGGTATTCCAGGTGGCCGGGCATGGTGGCTCACGCCTTTAATCCCATCACTTGGAAGACAGAGGCAGGCGGACCTTTGTGAGTTCTTTGTGATCTGCCTGCCTCTGCCTCCCAAGTGCTGGGACTACAGGCGTGCACCACCACCCCTGGCTCTAGATTTATTTTTATTTAGGAATATATATCTGTCTATATGCTCACATTTATGTGCAGGTGCCCTCAGAGCTGGAGTCAACATTGATCCCTTTGACCCTGAGTTATTTCACATTTTCAAGGTTCACTGAGCCTGTAGGAGGATTTTATTCTTTTCCAAGGCAGAATAACATTCCATTGTTGGGCTAGGAACATGGCTCATTTTGTAGAATGCTTGCCTAGCATGTACAAAACCCTGAGTTCAATCCCCAGCAGCCCATAAACCTGGGTGTGGTAACATATGCCTGTAATTTAAACACTGGGAAGGTGGAGGCAGGAGGATCAGAAGTTCAAGGTCAGCCTTGGCTACTTTGTGAATCTGAGGCCAGCCTTGGCTATATAAAATCCTGTCACAATATGTGGGGTGTGTGTGTGTATGTGTGTGTGTGTGTGTGTGTGTGTGTGTTTGTGTGGTGGCAAACACCTTTAGTCCCAGCATTCAGGAGGCAGAGGCACAGCAGAGCTCTGAGATCAAGGCCAGCCTGGCCTACATACTGAGTTGCAGGTCAGCTGGGGCTATAGGGTGACCATCTCTCACACACATACCCCAAATCTAATAAGGCCGGGTGTGGTGGCACATGCCTTTAGCTCCAGGACTTAGAAGGCAGAGGCCGGTGGATCTCTGTAAGATTGAGGCCAGCTTGGCGTACACAGTGAGTTCCAGACTAGCTGAAGTTATCGGAGACTCTGACTCAAAAAGACCGCCCCCCCCAAAAAAAAAGTCTAAAAAATAAGTATGAAATACATGCTCCTAAGCAAGTTGTTTGCAACCTTGAGGAACTACCTGTATCTAGGAGGTATTGTATTATGTTTCACATCTGAAATGTACCCCCAAAGTTCATGGACTGAATGCTTGGTCTCAATGCAACAGTGTTCACAGTGCAGGATTTGGGGGTATGTGATTGGATCATGAGGGGCTTGACTTCACCAGTAACTGACCCATTTATGGATTCACAGCTTAATGTGTTTGGGGACAAACTCTGCTAGTTTACTTATTCATTTATTTATATCACCTTTTCTCTGAAAGGATCAGGCATTTTAACAACCACTACCCAAAAGTTGCAGCCACGAAGATGAAATGTTGTTATGGAGAAGATAAAAATACGTCACTCCAGGAATATCAGGGATAGGTAACAAGTTCAAAATAAATCAGAGCCATCCAAAGGGCCTTGTTATGGTCCCACATCACATTTCAGGGCACATGGACAAAATTTCCACATA